TGCTGCTTGCACTCCTCAGGGTTGACGTTGGCGCTGCCGGCGGAGGCGGGGGCGCCGCGGCCTTTGGGCGGGCCCCGGCGGCGCGCGGGGACGTCGTTGTCGCTGTCCGAGTCCTGGGGGCAGGTAAGTTTCGTTTCGGCGTGCGGGTGCACAGATACAGCATGACAGCATGGACGGTGACAGAGAAGGTAGGAGAGACATGAAAGAGGAAGCATAGACATGAAGAGACAGGGCATCGCATAGACGGAAGCTGAGTACGAGACTACGCAGGTGGCGCCGCGCGCTCGTCGATCCAGGCAGTCATCTCCGGGCCCGTGACGGCCTCCCGCTGGGGGTGACGGTTAGTCTCGCTCGTGGGACGAGGGATGAGACGGAGGGACGAAAGACCCCATGCAAACACCCCACAATGCGTGCGTGCACTCCAATGGCGAAGCTCCGCTCCCCGGCATCCAAAATACGAGAGCCGCGCCATCTGCGAACGAGAGACAACCGCCAATGCGGCACAGCTCGACGCATCCACATCCCCGCGCGCACCCGTCTCCCCCGCCGTGCGCACGTCTCTGGAACCCCCCAAAACGCAAAACAACCTCCTCTCTTCCTCAAGCGTGAAAAAAAAAAAAACCAAGAACCCAAAAACCCACCTCATCAAATTCCCCCTCGTCCTCCTCGTCCTCGTCGAGCTCGTCAAACTCGTCGTCGTCCTCGTCGTCGCTGTCCATCAGCTCGTACTCGAGCGCCTTGCCCGTGAAGTAGTCCACCGCGCGCGGGATGATCTGCGGTGGGGTTAGTTTTTGTTTGAGGATGAGGCAGGAGGGAGGGAAATGGAAGGGGAAGTGAAGTTGAGTGTGGAAGAGACGGACGGTAGGGCGGACGGGGAGCGGGAGGGACAGGAGGATGTGTATGGGTGGGAGAACGGGGAGAGGGTGGCATGTAGGTAGGAGAAAGGGGGAGGGGGGGCGGAAGGGGCGGATGACGGGGGAACACCGGAGGCCTAGGAGAAGGAAGGGAAGGGGGGATGTGGGCAGAAGACTACGAAGGGGAGGACGGGCGAGCGAGTGATAAGAGTACGAGGTGGCCGAGATGATGATGGAAAGGGCAAGGAGGGAGAAGATACGGCGGACAGAAGCCCGAGGATGGGAGAAGGCAGGGGGCGCCGGAAGGGAGGAGGGGGAGGAGACGCCGAGGGATCGTGAAAAGACGGAAGGTAGAAACACAAGCACAAGTGCAAAACAGCAACAGTCGCAAAACACACCTTCTCTTTGAGGTCCTCGCCGACCTGGTAGTCCACCTCGAGCCGCTCCTCGATCTCCTCGAGGTCCTCGGGGTCGATGTCGCCCGCCTCGATCTACGGAAGATAAGTTGGATCAGTACATGAATGAAGGCATGGGGAGGAGGAAGAGCGGAAGGGAAGGGAAGGAGAAAGGCCGAAAAACGAGGGCGGAGCCATCGCACATCGCAGCCGTCTCGAAAAGTCGTCCCCGCAGCACTCTACGCACTGGCAAGGCAGAAGTGGCAGAGGTAATCCCCTCGACACGTTCGACGAGCACCGCGCGTTCCTCTGGGTGGGCGGGGGCGGGAAGCACCCCGCGATGCCGACGCCCGCCGTCCGCATTCCAATCGCCAGCAGACACGCACGCACGCCCACCGCGGACGCAACTTCCACGAACATTGACGTCTCCCCCATCCGCACACCTTCGGCCCGCTTGCACCTCCAGTGCCCACTCCGTCCGCCCCACCCTCTCGCGGACGTGCCGCCGCCAAACACCAAAAAGACGGATCCCCCGCCCCACTCGCTCGTCCCGTCAACAGCATCGCAACATCCGGCAGCGGCACAAGTGGCAGAGATAATCCCCTCGAAGCAAAAAAGGACGGATAATCCGCGTGCCCTCCCGCGCGCGCCTCTTTCTTGGAAGGTGGTAGGTACGAGGAAGCACCCTCGCGGCCCCACCGCCCGTCGGCGACACTCCAACCGCCAGCAGACAAGGACGAAGGCGCCGGACGTCGCCAACCCTGTGAGCATCTCCCCCAAGAAAAGACGTCCCCCTCGTCCGCGCGCTCAGGACGTCGCCAGCAAGCTCCCAGGTCCGCGTGCGGTCCGCGTGCCGACAGGACAAAAGACGTCGTCGCGCCGAACGCCGAACGCCAGCAGGTGTACTGCAATGCAAGCCCCCCATCCGCGTCTGTAGCACGTCCTGACAGGATGGCTACGCGCCCCAGCACGACACCAGGAATCCGCCAAACGCCCAGAGACGTCGCATCACCCCCACCCCTCCCAAACGCTCGCACGCCTCTCGCCTCGTCCCCCGCCCCACATCTCGTCGCCCACAAAACGAAAAAATCTCCAGCGACGAGAAAATAAAAATAAAGATAAAAAAGAGAAAAGAAGAAAAGAAAAAGGAACGAGGGAAAGACGCACCGCCTCGTCGCTCGGCATCACCGGCGGCGCGAAAAAGTTGAAGAAGGACGCGGTCGGGTGCGACTTGCGGATCAGGCGCGTGCGGTTCGTGTCTGGTGGGAGTTAGCGGGTGGACCGAGGGGAGGGGAGCGGGAGGGAGGGAGAGGAGGGAAGGGAGCAGGCAAAGAAGAGAAGAGGCGGGGAAAAGAAGGAGATAATACAGGGAGGGGGAGGGAGGAAGAGAGGACGGAGGAAGGAGGACGGAGGACGGAGAGGGGCGGGCGGTGCGAGGACGGTGGGGAAGAAAAAGAGAAAATACGGAATGAAGGAAGGGGAGGAACAAGGGACGAGGATGGTGGGGGTGGGAGGAGGAAGGAAGGGAAGGTGAGAAGTAGCGCGAGCGAGAAGGCGGGGAAAGAGAAAGAAAAGAACAGGGAACGGAAAGGCAGGGCGTAGAAGACGTAGCGCGAGGATGGGCGGGTGGAGTCGGGAAGAAAAATGGGGGGGAATAAGGAATCAGGAGGGCAGCGCGGGGATGGAGGGAGGGAAGGGAGAAGATGTACGGAAGAACGGGAGCGGCGATATAATGAGACGGGCACAGGAGGAGGAGCGGATGGCAAGGGCGGAAGGGGAGGGAGGAGAGTTGGAGGGAATGGAGGGAAATTCGTCGAGTGCGAGATGAAGATGGATGATACGTGGCAGAAAGAAGATATCTCAACGGCGAGGAGAGAAGGGACGGGTCGGGAAGCGGCAGGCCGGGATGAGGGAAGGACAAGGAAAGAAGGAGACGGGCGAGGGAGGGTAAGGAGGAGGAGATGGAGTACGAGGAAGGCAGCACGAGGGTCGATGAGGGAGGAAGAAAATAGAAAGGAAAAGCGGCAGAATGGCCAGGAGGAGTACGGAGGAAGAAGCAACGACGAATGCGTGGAGACGAAGCAAGCAGACAAACGCGAAAACAAGACGCACTCTTATTCCTCTGCTTCTTGATCTCCCACTCGCGCGTGAGGTCCTTCTCCTCGCGCCACGCGATCTCGCTCCCGACGGCGCGGTCGTAGACAAAGTCGCCGCTGTAGCCGACCTGCGGGGGTGTTAGTGACGTTTTTCTTGAAGATGAGACGGAGGGGAAGGAGATAAGAGCGTTGGTAGGTGGAGGGCGAATCGGGGAGGAAGGGAAGGGATGAAAGGGCGAGAGAGGTCGGTGACGGGTAGACAAAGGACGGGGAGAGGAGATGGTAGTGAGGAGGGAATGAAGGTGGACGGAGAAGAAGGGAAGGATCAGCGGTAGGAACGAAGGGAAAGGCGACGGGGAGACGAAGGGAATGAAGGAGGGTCGCACCTCCTCCTGGTAGATATACGTCTTGCTCAGGGTCTTGTCAGTGAAGAACGGGTTCTTCTCCGCGTCCCAGTGGAACGTGATCGTGAACCCGGGCTTGCCCGCGAGCTCGCCTGGCAACCGATGAGCATCTCCTCTGACGCATCCAGAGCAGGAGAGACGCACCCTCCTCGCCCTTGAGCGGCAGGTACGCGAGTGTCACGTCCTGCAGGAACGCGAGCGCCTCGGCGTCGCGGTCCGTGATAAGCTCCGCGAGCCCCGGGTGGTTGCGCAGCGCCGTGAGCCAGAAGTCGGGGATGCCCTTCACGTCCACGTCCTCCGCCTTCGCCTCGGTGTCTGCAGCGCCCTCATCAATCTCAAAGCACTTTCGGAGCCGTGCGGTAGACTCACCCTCTTTATCCTGCTGGTCGATGGTGGTGTAGTCCTCGTCGTCCTTGAGCGACTGGGCCTCGCCCGCGGCGATTTCGTCGGTGGTGGGCGCTGCGTCGCCGGCGATGATTGCGTGCCGGCGCGCGTAAAGCGGCTTTTGGAGCTCGAGGTACTAAGGGCCGTGATTAGCACAAGGATTAGATGCGGATGAGGGTTGGCACTGCGATTGTGCCTCGTGTCGCGCATCGATGGTCATCGGCGACGGGCATAAGCCATCCACGTCATCCAGCCAGCCATCCGTCCCATCCGCGCACAAACGGCGCATCGAGCAAGCCCCTTTGTCTCCTCCAAAAAATTTGAAAGAAATCGCAGCCAAAAGCCCACGAAAAATCAAGGAAAAAAACGGCCACCTTACGCTCCAATTCGAGACACTCCCTCTTGTACCGATTCTGCAGCTCCGTCTGCTGCACCTGCACCCCCTTCAGACCCTCCACCTTCCGCCTCACCTCCCGCGGGAGGCTCTCGACGTACCCACTGCTTCGCCCGACGAGGCCCGCAAGCCGCCCCTGCACCATCCCAAGCATCGCCGCCTGCACGCCCTCGTTCCCCAGCCCGTTCAGCTCCTCCGCCGATTCTTCCGAGATGTCGGGGACGGTGGGCCGCGAGAGGCCAGACGAGATCGGTGCCGCCGTGTGCGGCGTGTTTTGCGGCGTTGGCGCTGTGATGCCAGACGAGGAGATCGGGACGTTGGAGGTCATCGTTGGAAGGAAGAGAGTGCAAATTTTGGGGCGGATGGCGGGGTTTGAATTCAAGTCACGGGGCTCGGCGTGTCGGGCCGAGTCGAGTCAAGGAGGCAAGAAATGAGAAGACAGGGCCGGTCGAGAGAAAAGAAAAAAAAAAGAACTCAAGCACAGGGACTCGAACCCTGGACTGCCCTCTAAACAGGTTGTAGTTGATAATACTGCGAGAGGCCGTGTTACCACTACACCATACCTGATTGCCTACACAGCCGCACCATTAACTCAATACCCTGTTAAAATTTAAGGAGTTAATATTTCACAACAATTTCGTTACTATAATCGAGCTTGGGGACCCGTTACGAATTCTTAAAACACAGGATCGTAAGATTATTCTAAGACTGATGGTCCCCATTGGGATAAGTCGCAATTGGAATATTAGCCTGGCAGCGCTGCGCTTGCACTCCACCATACAGCTCAGGGACATTCATGGAGGAGAGAAGCAGAATATATTGAAGCCATGTAGATAAGAACATAATAAACTAAGCCCGGTGCTGTTGGCGACTGGGGGGGCCAACTCACATGCGACATTAGTTTTAGGTATGACCTGCTGAGAGAGGGCGGGAGCAGAGAATACTAGAAGCAAACAGTGTGAGGGTGTTCTTGATTTTGGTGGAAAGAGCTGGGGCATGCAGCATTTGGGACGCGGCAGAGGAAATGGTCTTGCAGGAAATATCTTTGATGATCTTGCAGACTTGAGAATTGACACGGAGGAAGGTCCAACAAGTTCTTTGTACATCTTCTGAAGGTCTTGATATTACCAGAGTTAGATTTGCAGTCTTGACCCTCATGTTGACCTGAGATGAGCTGAGCAGAGAAATTCTGAGATTTGCCAGCACAATGCTTCGTGCGAGACCGGTTGTTTGGAATACTTGAAAGCTGTCTTGCCAGTGACACACAAAGTCTTGGTGTTGGAACCTTTCAACTCCACCTGCGGCGCAGGGCAAGCGCAGGGAGTGCAGGGAGGAATCGGTGCAGAGTGGTCAAGCGCGTTGGCGAGAGGAGAGATCACACGTGCCCAACTCGAACCACAAACAAATAACGACGGAGTTTGAAATAGAAATGGAGCGTTCCAGAGCGTCGGGCATCACCGGTTGCCGTGCCGGTGTCTTACGACTTAACAAGTATTTCTTACGGCGCGACAGGTCTTGACAAATTGGTAAGGAAAGTCTTAACAATGCCGGAACAAAAAGATTGTTACAATTATCGTAAGGATAACTTAACGGAATGTTACTATTCGGGTCTTAGGAAAAGTTACAACAACTGATCTTAAGATTTCACAAAACTTCCGTTTGGCCGTGTACTGTTAGGCTCTTCGGGATATGGCGGGAGAGGCTGTAACAAAGACTCTGATTGATAGCAAAGCACAGAAATGAGAAGACATGGCGAGTGACTCTCGAGGTGGCCCTGTCGAGAGAAGAAAAAAAAACTCAGGCACAAGGACTCGAACCCTGGACTGCCTTCTAAACAGCTTGCAATGGTCAATACTGCAAGAGGCCGTGTTACCACTACACCATACCTGATTGCCCATGGTTGGCAGGCTTCAAATGGAGCTGTAACAAAGACTCTGATTCAGAACCTCAGGGAGATGGCCCGATACTAATCATTGGTTTGCTTAACGAATTCATATTATTATTATAATAGTCGAGCAACTGAACCACAATTTTCACTTCAATGAACATGCAACTTGGGTTCAACTTGATGTCCCGAATTAGTGATTGCTTGCTCTAAAGTGAGATTCATGCTATACTTTCATTTTAAGTACCAGGGCCCAAAACCTTCAAGCCTGCATTCGGAAATGACTGAGAAATCACCTTATATTGCCGCTGCTCAGGCCCGGCTCGGGCCTGAAAAGCTTGAAGGCCAAGCCCTGAGTCCGATCAGGCTGCAGGCTGCAGCGGGCCCGGGCTGGCCTGGCGGGCCTAGGGCCTCAAGTCGGGCCACTATCTATATGAACATTCAGATGATTCAGAACGACGAATCAATGCAAGTATGCATTTTCAGTCACTTCCGTGTCTTTTGGACTGTTCCCACGTCAAAATCTCTCCCCGGAATCTGATTTCACAGGGATTTATTATAATATCTATCTGCATGTTCCATTCAGATCAAGAGCTGATAACTATTTTATGTGTACAAATCAAGTTACATGATAGTTATCAATGTTTCGGAGTGCATACTGATGCGTTAAACGCGACCAAACGCGTCGGAGCCGAGTTACTAGCATGGCAAGAGGATGATTATTTTGTCCTGTAAGTAGTGGGTTTAGTTTCTCAGATTTTCCTCGCATTTCCTGTTCAGTGGATGCTGGTGGATGTTATCGGAATATCCCGCAGACCTACCCATTTTAAAACGACCGAGGACGCTGAGAATTGAGAAACAAAGTAGTAGGGAACAGAATCGGCGCTGACGACCAATGTCATGTGGAATTCAAACCCCGCCGGTATCGGACACACCGCCATCAGTATCGAGCCGGGCAAATGTTCATATAAATCAATTTAAATACATCGGATATAAAAAATAAAAATGAAGCAACTGCAACAACGGGTGGGTGCTGGTGTACAGACAGAAAAAAACCTAATCATTTACACGCTATATCCGACACGGGGAGCCGAACCCCGGGCTGCCTCCAAATGGTACGACTCCGATAAAGATTAAAGGCCGTGTTACCGTACATGTCTGATCCCTCTGTGAACTTGTTCTCATAGGTAGGTTCAATATTTTGGCAAGCCACGTTGTCAGTGGGTTTGACAATTCAGAAGTCTCTTATTGGGTCCCGTTGAAAAATAATGATGTTGCAGTTTCCTCAATACAATTTACAATTTACACTGACTTGAAATTGAATGAAACCAGAGGGAAAAAAAAATAAACGCTATCATACAAGCAATTGTAATCAGACACGGGGAGTCGAACCCCAGGCTGCCTCCGAATGCTCAAACACCTTAAGGTGAGAGGCCGTGTTGCACTCGGTAGGTTCAATATTAAAGTTGGACGACTTTGCGATATAAATACTGCCTCAATCAATTCAAACTAAAATACGGGGGGGGAACTTTTGATTCCCAGGAATCTACCTGCATTTTTTGTGGAATTAAGTCCAGTAGAAATTGATACTTTCTTTTGCAAAGGTAGGTCATTTTGATCGCTGGGCTCGGCAACTTCACTACGGCCTCAATTCGACCCCAGAGCCCAAACGACTCCGGATTCAATATCTTTCGGTGGTAATGATACCGCTTGTTGATGCCGAGCCCCGTCGGACATGAATTACGGGTGTAGCATTGCCATCAGAATCGTTTTTGCAAAGGTGGGTGATCGATACTAATGATGATTGTGAGCAGGTTGACGGCTGGGAAGCTCCTGGGATCTAGGATGACGTCGAATCTAAACATAATAATAATGCTGCAGCTCCCTCAACACCATTTACACTGGCCTGAAGTTTGAACCAAACCGGACTGAACAAAATGAGGGATGTTACTCGATGGTATACGAAAGTGAGCGTTTTCTGATCCGGTGCACACACTGATCATCACGGATCACACCGAACGTGGGTTACCGAGACAGTTCATCGCTGTGATCCCTACCGACGAACATCGAAATCAGTGCGCCGGCGCTGATTTACAGGACCTGAGCGCAACTTCCTATCTATATGTACTCGCACTCCAAGCGTCTCGGTTTCACCCCCTTCCCCCACGCCTCTCATGCTCCTCAGTTTGCCTCCTGAACTTCTTGAAGAAATTGGAGCTCTTGTGGGTGACATTGCCTTCTTGTATTGGACAATCTTCAACAAGAACCTCCACAGCTCATTAGAGATGACCTCAAGGCGCTACGCGGCGCAAATAAAAACGTACAAGCGGCCGTGGATCCTGCTTTCTTCGCAGAGTTTCCGATCAGCAGCAGCGCACTGTCCAGGCTCAGCGAGAGTAATTTCAGCTTCCTCAGAACCATAGCTAATGGCGAGACACACTGGTCTCAACATGCCAAGAAGTTATCTGTGTTTCCGGGAGCCTCGACTAACGTCTCCGACACGGAAACGGCCGATGTCAGCGGACCTTCCGATGTGCGCGAACTTTTTGCTGCAGCGCTGGAATCTATGTCAAGGATTCACACCGTATTGTGAGCTAAGGCCTTGTTTCGTCATCCAGAATTTCAATGTACCAACTTACGCCTAGTTGGAAGGTGGCCATGAACGAGCCCGAGTGGGTGCGACAGGTTATCTGTGATTCTATCTGCGCCTTTCCGCAGCTTGAAAACTTGAACATTGGTCTGCTCTCCGAAGCTGAGCTCACTGCTACCATGGAAATGCCTGGGGAATTCATTGCTTCCTCTGCATGCTACAGTAAGACTGCGGCAATGACATTCATGGTGAGCAATTACGATCTTCCGCTATTCATCTATACGGCATACCAACTACCCGTCCCAGGACGACGTCATTCTCAATACCATCATTGCCCGCCTCCCACCCATGCGCTCCCTGCACATCAAAGCTTGTGGGTGCGCTCTAGCGCCGCAGAACGCTTGCTTTGGGCGTTGCGCGGACGCTGACCACTACAGGGAGGTAGACAACATTTGTCATGGCCTCAAGCGAGCTGTGGAAGGATTCCGTTCGGAGATAATCTACTCCACAGACCTTCATGTGGACGGCAATATTTACGACCTCAAGCTTGTGGCCTCTTCCGGCGACGACGAGTCAATGGGGAAAGAAACGACGTTTTCATACAGGTGTCGACAACCAGAATGGACACCGTTCAAGCCGCGATATGGAAGAATAGAGCATAGAGTGCACCGCTTCCCCGACCCTGGGATAGCCGCCCGTTATTATGCCATGGCTACAGCCGGCCACTTAGATCCAGCAAGTAATACGGCAGAGTAGGTTTGCATACTATAGGATTAGTTTAGTACATGTTTCGATGTAATTCCTCTGACATTGTATCGGACGCGTGCTGCGGGATACTTGCATATCAAACACATCTCCGGTTGAAACTTGACGGAGATGGTGCGACAACAAGTATTTCGAGAGATCCAAGGGTCATGATCATGGAGCGCCAGCATGTGCTGCACCTCATTCTGGTTGTCTTACCAGTTACATTCAGTGCAATGAATCAGACATGGTGTACGCCAAGACATCAAGAGAGCCTGTTGCAGTCCAAGTGCGACTTTACAGAAGGCTGAAGCAGCCCGGGGTCCGAATCTGGGTCATTTTTCCCGTCCGGTTGAGTTGAACTTGATGTTGGAATCACAAAGGGAAACGATGACATGGTTCAGGTTGATCGACACCGATTATTTTCCCATTGGATCCCAGAGGCCGGCGCCTCTTCCCAGCTGTCGCGAATATTTGAACCTACTTAGCTCACTTGGGGGTCCTAATTGTCCATGTTTCAGGGCATAGATAACAAACCGTCCTCGATTTTACTAATCTACATTCGTACCATTGATACAGATGACGAATGGCAAGGTCGGTCCTACTTGAGTGTCGCCGGCCGCACCGTGTACGGAACTTCCCGGGTCCCGCTTGATCCCATCATTTTGTATTTTCTGCCAGTCGCCCAGTTTCCTTCGCTCGCGTTTGCTCCCAGACCTCTCCGAGACAGCTCGGATTTGCGGGACGTGATTTACCCTACAATGAGCCTGATGTCCCGCCTGTCGAACAGGGTCAAGTTCCGATTGCGTCTCACGATCATCGACCCCTTGAATGTACCCACTCCTGTTGACTCCGAAATCTCTGTCCTCTTCCTCCAGGTCACGAAGGGGTTTTCATTGGGCACTGTCGGACCTGGTGCCGAACATATGGTTATCACCGATGCTTACAGCGCTGACTCTCACACCTCATTTGCAAACTCCCGTTCCCCGCCTCTCGGAGACTGTCGGAGTCAGCTTTGTCGAATAATCGCGGTTCCACCACGGCACCGATCTACATGCTTATTGTGAGGTCCCAGCTTCAACATGGGCAGCCCTTTGAAAGCAAGCTCTGGTGGACGCCCCCCGAGGACCCGATAATGTCGTTATCGCTTGCAGAGATGACGAGAACGACGAGTCTGATCGGCTCCCCGAAGACCGACTCGTGACTTGCTGTTCGTCCGCTCAAGACCGGCCGTTACAAAGTGTGCTAGGAGTAGCCGCTGGACAGATCAACTGTCTACAAAATCGAAGCAATGAAGCATGAACTTGTCAAGTTAGGCTGGCAAACAACTGGCACCCATCCTGTGGCCAGAGATCTTGTCGCCCTGATTTCCAAGAATTAAGACGTCACAGATATTTCAAAATACAAGTACAACGACAAGTACAGCAACAAGTACAGTCAGGAGATACGAATGCGAACAGAAAGGCCAAAGAATTTCGAACACGCGCGCAGACAACTGAAAATGGCGCAAGGAAAGGAAAAGGAATGGCCAATCAGTGCCAGGCGGATTTCAAAAACCTTCACTCCTCGTCCTTGACCTTGTGGGGTTTCTTGTGGTGGTGTTTCTTCTTCGTGTCCTCCACTTCGTCGTCGGCGGATTCCTCACCCCTGCCCTTGTGGGGTTTCTTGTAG